CCAGTCGCGGTGTTCGAAATATACTGTCAGTTCTGACGAGCTCCCTTCTCGGAAGACCATTCGCTGACGCTAACGATACATTCACGATATGTGCGATAAATTAGTGGTGGAAAACGTTTTCGTGTCACCGGATAATTTTGTGCTGGCAGCAAAAATTTGGGGCTCTTAACATATCTGGTCAAGAATTATAACGTATCTGGAAGTGAACTTGTAGAAACAAAGGATACCAATCGCCAAAAACCGAAATTTCCTTAAATCCTATGTGCACAATGAAAGCCCCCAATTCAACTAGACACTTGAATAGCGCATTACATACAATGTCGGGGACAAAGTTGCCCCTTGCCTCGAATATTATTCGGGGCCCTGGAGAAAACCTCTGGGACTGATATCAGGCGGCAAATCCCGCACATTGCCGTTATGAAGCAAAACAGGTCAAGTAAGACAGCAATTGCAGGTCTTCGTCGATCTTGTTAGCCTCACGCGCAAGCTTGTTTGTGTAGTGTTCAGCAGATCGGCCGGATCGCGTGAAACGCTTAATGCGCTGCGAAACAACGGCGCATGATATAGATGAATGAAGAAACAGAAACAACTGTTGGCACACAGGCTTGGAATCTTAGATCCTGGGAGTGCCTGCTGCCCAAGAGGATTAAAGCTTTCTAGCCGATCGAATGAACGGAGACGGCCTGGCCTCAAGGGGACCAAGAAGTTCCGTAACGCTAAATTCACAGGGTGATCGAGCGTCCGAGGCGATCAACAGGATCTCATGCTTCCAAGGGAGGCTAAGGCCATCAGCCTCCGACGGACAGCTGATTGGTAGAGGTCAGTGGGTTTCCAGATCGCCATGCGCACCTAACACCGAGTTGTGTCTCAAGGGGGTCATATCCCATAATACACTGACGGGGCTTCGAAACACGTATGGGCTCCCGAACGCTTACGGGCAAGGTCATCGGTGATAGTGATCATCGGTGATCCCCCGGCATGGGCAATAGGCGACCATGCATCTGAGCGGTCAAGCAGAACTGAATGCCGCGGGGCCCCATAGTGGTCCGGGATCTGCCATGCATTCGCGAAGCTGAACATGATAAGTGGCTTCGGAATAATCAAGAGCATCGAAACCGGCCAACAAATCAGCTGAGCCAAGACCCCTGAGTCAATCCGTTGTTTGCAAAACGGCAAGCTTGTGCCGTTTTGTGCGACTTTTTTGCTATGATTAATCAACACTACCAGCAATGAACGGTGTAACATGCCGATTAGTTTTCAGATAAGTTGCCTGCATCAAGCGTAAGGTAATGCTATCAGGTGGTGGTCGTAGCTCTGTTACCGCCAGTCCGGTTTCTACATGATCTGAAATGCCTGGTTTCCTTTCGATGAGTATGATGTCCACCTAACACACCCTTATTTTACGTACGTAGTGGCATCTATTGACACAGTATGCAGACCATTCTGTAATCCATAGGCTAGTTTACTCCCGCTACGGAAAAAGCTAGCTGGCGATAGCCATCGTTCTCAACAATATCTCCCCTATATGACGTAGCTTTCGTTGCTGTGAAATCCTTCATTTGTGACATTGTCTCCCTATATTTTTAGAGCGATGTGCCTCGCTCCGAGGAAACTCTGAGTTCGTGAACGAAGTTTGTGATTGTTATTCTGGCAACATAAGTGCAGCATAGCCAGGCTAATACAATAACCCACAGTCGTCCTGCTTTTAATCTTTTGGGGACGCCACTAGGCCAAATGACTTTCTAGGTCTCTCAATAAGCAAACCAAATTAACAACAGAACTGCAGCTAACACCATAGCAAGGAAAATCTCTGGATGTGGGGGAGTCCTGTTCTCGGTCCGTCATGAATTTCATTTCGTTCCACTCCTGACCCCATGCCCATATGAACTGTTACGGCAGCACTAAGTATGTTCTGCGCTCCGGTTAGGGATCATGATAGCAGGGATCCAGATTTCCAGGGTGGGGGGGGGGGAACAATTTGTGCCGCTGAACACTAAAGGACCGCCCGAAATACCACGACAGTCCTCATTCGTCACAGTCCACAGAGTACACCGACACCACACGCGCGTGACCAGAGAACCCCGTAATCCTCGCCCTTTCCCAATGTGCCCACGTGCTGACCTGCCTCACCGCGCACACGTGTGCCGATCGGGGATCTCAGTTCTGACGTCATCCGCAGAACCGGCTCGCGATGACCGGAGCTGCGCATTGGTCGCGTGCTGCGGCCGCCCGGGGCCGGAGAGCCTGTATAAAAGCGGCGACGGCCCGGCAGGAGACGAGCAGCATCCATCTCTGACGCCGCTCCCACTTCATCCCAGCCGCACCGACCACAAAACATGGCCAGCCGTGCCTTCGTTCTTCTGCTGCTCGTTGCCTATGTCGGTGCCCAGGCCAACAAGAAACTTATCCCCGGACGCCAACCTGGAGGCGGTAAGTGGATGTCACTCTTCATCAACGAACATAGGTACATTACCTGACTTTGGGTGTGCCATGGATTGCGAGCATTGTGATTCGCCTGGCATGTCTTGCTATAGTTACCCGTGCCCGAGGTGAGTTATTACATGTCAATATGCTCTCCAAACCGTGCATACCTCGTCGTTGGCCAATCTAAGGACATGAATGTGTTCGCTTTAGACTGCTCGGTGACTGCGTGCTTTCGAATTCATCGGAGCTATACGTATAGAGCGAACTTCAATTCGAAGGCCATAAGACCCATTTATTTCCCAGACACTGACAATAGCGTCAACGCAAAGTTTAGAAGTTTTCTCGGTATCGCTTGGTGAATTATTTGTACAAGTTATGCAACAAACGTCTTTCTCTTTCAGCATGCAGCAAAAAATGCCCGCCCAATAACGTCTGCGAAGAACAAATCTGTCAAGTATGCGTTCCAGGTATGTGCGCATGTGAGAAAAGCCAAGCACCTGTCTGTCATATTTGTATATGCCTGTCATATGCCTGTCATATTTTTGGTTCAGACCATAATTCGTGTATATCACACAAAGATTGATGCTATCGTGACAGCGACCGCACTCACTTTTTATGAAAATGTAACGCGATGCACGATATTACGCCCACCTCTACGGGGCACCAGCGACCACAGAGGTCATATCAGTGCTCAAGGGCCCATGCACAACCGGTGCCCGGGCACCCCATGTTCAAGTTAAAGACGCTAACCGCTTGTCCATTACGCCACGTAGGCACAATCACTCACCTGGAACAACGCATTAGATGTGTTACAGTTTCTACAGTGCTTTAGAGACAACGCTGACGCATGGGCGTGGTCCGGTGCCCCGTGCATGACACCATATCCTTTATTTCAGAGGCTCCCACCTGTAAAACCTGGGAATGCAAGGCGAATGAAAAGTGCGAAGATAGACCCACCGGTCCGGTGTGCGTCAGACGTAAGCCGCTTTTTCTTCACATTCTTTGTATGACGCATTCAAACGCAGCTGACGTACCTTGAAGCCCTCGACAGGCATTTTTTTTTTTTTACTAAACAGCCGTGTTAGCGGACATGGAGCGACTCTGTAGCATGCCACGATGGCATTTGACCCCGCCGCCGCGCCGTGGCATAAAGAAGAGGCGGACTGCTGACAGTTCGCCCTTAGACTGACCCTATTCTTCGCATTGCAGTGACCTGCGCCGACATCTACTGTGCCGCCGGTGAACTCTGCAACGAGCTGCCCGATGGGCCGGACTGTGTGCCAGGTAGGCCGATACGCCTCTGGCGATGTTGCCGTGGAGACCAGTCCACTCTTCACTGGCCAGTTTAGTCGGCATTCGCGCCATCTTAAGAGCGTGTCCGGCGGGGCGGGTTGACGTGAATGGCACTGGATTCTTGTTATATCGGGAGACTCTGGGTTGGCTTCTGACAGGCGCAGCTTCCGTGAGGTGAAAAGCGTATCTGTTTTGTTCTCCAATACCTGCTTTTCGCTCAACAAACGCTCGATGTCAGCTGTCCGTCTAAATCATTACTGCATGCCTCACCTTCCCAGCCGCTCCGAACGGCGCCTATTACCCTGGCTATGAACTATGCTCAAAGCATGTTTTCAACCCTGGTGACCTGTGCGTTCTTCAGATGTTCCCTCGTGCGAGGGCTTCTACTGCCGTCGCGGTACCAACTGCTATGTCCGTGACGGCTCTCCCATCTGTCTGCCCAACACGTGCGAAGTGAGAGTCTGCGAGGGTGGTCTGACCTGCGTTGACACGCCCAACGGTGCCCTCTGTCGGCGTGGAAAAAGTGGGTACAGCTTTGACGTACTCGTGTTTCGTATGGAACTCGAGTATGTGCTTTTAACTGCTTTGATGTGCATTAAGAAGGCCGTCACGCGTCTCCAATTTGTCACGATTTCAAGGCCCCCGCTTGGAGCTGCAAGCGGACATTTGGACATGCCGACAGCTGTCTCGACTTGTAGCAGGATTTCGAAGTACTGTCCGGGTCCGATTCAACCAGACATCACTTGATGTACTTAAGCAGTGTACGTTTTCCTTTATGTAACACAAGCTATTTCCTTCAGAAACCCCTGGCTGCAAGGGGAAGTACTGCCCGGACAACTCCAAATGTATCGAGACGCCAGAGAAAGGAGCTCACTGCGTCAAGATCTAGACGTCTAGTCAGCGAGAGCACGGCGTAATGCCTATTGTGCAATACGAAAACATTTGTGATATCAGGGACGTTGTGTGAGACTAAGTGCGCAAATCCGCCAGCCTCGACTTTTGGTGTAGTCTAGCTTTCTTCAAGGGAACGAACTAGCCCACGCACTGTTTTCCATCAATGCAGCGGACGTGATTGCAAAATGTGCCAGTGCTCATGGCTGTCCCATCCATGGCCATCAGATTGTGTTTTCCTAACGTCTCAGAAGTATTTTTCAATAGCGCTGCAGTCAGTCTATCCCATACTAGCCAGCTTTGACGCAATGAGGCTGACAGAGGTCTCCCACGCGATGGAGGCTGAGGTGCTATGTTCACACCCATGCTGCAATGTGATTTTATTTCGGTCAGCATACGAACTTGTGAAGCTTGTTCACAAAATCCTAGATTGAATGTGCGTGCAGCACCCAAAATACAACAATATAACATTACAGAGTCGTAATGCATTCACAAACTGCGACAGCACCAGGTCCGTCACGGACGCCGAGTTATAACACCCTTAAAATTTCTCGCGCACGCCGACGCACGCTAACCAAAGCTCACCGAGCGGCGGGCGAACCTTTGGTTCGAGGACCGCAACACAGATGGAAGCACTGCAGGTGTTCGCCCCGCTTTCCGCCCGCTAATCGTCGTCTTCGTTTAAAATGTTCGTAGAGATGAGGTCGAACTCTTGCACTTGAGACTCGTCCGTTGTTACCCCACGTTCGTCCAGTGGATTTTTGATGCACTGAAAGGTGTAAAAACAGGTGTAAATACTTGGGCGTGGCCATCGCATCAGGGTCGTTAGGATGGCATGGGAGGGATCAGGGTGGAGATTCTCCCTATGTATCCTAAAATCAGATTTTTTGGCAACGAATGACGCGATGACCTTAAACTGCAAGGCCAATGCAGGCTGTGTGAATTAGTTGCAAGCTATTGCATAGTTACTGACATGGGTTGAGACTAGTTAACACAAAAACTGAAAAGATTACCGGCTTTCACACCAACAATTTACCAATGACACAACACCAATGCAAAGCGTTCACACCACAAGTTGGCGGGTTTTAGCGCTTGCCTGGGTCCTAGTCAGCCACTCAATAGCACAGTCGGTTCTCCGAAACCCTACGGACTACCCATCGTTGGTTTTTTGGGAAGCCTGAGCATTCGATGCCTGAGGCACTCGTTCCTCGAAACCAATGAGCATAACGCGTAATACCATTTTTGTGGTGGCCCGGGGCTTCTAGTTCGCCGGACACTGCGCAAATTACGAGAGCCTACGCTGTGATTGGAAGAACACAATCAACCAGGTCCCAGCGTTGTGAATAACCTTCAGAATAGCTATGGGTAAACGCCGGATGCTTTTGCTGATACGAGACGGAGCGGTGGCGACGAGGCGACGATGATGCGATACGAGGCACATACAAGGGTAGACTTAAATCTTATGGAGACAAGATGGCCTTGTCTCTAGGACGAGACGTAAAACATTATGTTATCATGAAAATGAAGTAATTCTAACAACGTTTCTACCTTTACTCCATCTCGTTCGCCATTTCAAGAAACAGCCAGACTCAGGTCTGCCGAAGACCAGCCAGACAGCTCCTATCCCGGCCATTCACGACAGCCTACCAGCGCCAGATTCAGTCGCTCTATCGGCATCTGTTCGGGGAAAAGCCAGGGCTTGAAGTGCGCATTGTGCCGCTTCTTCCAGCCAGCGTATTTGAGGCAGGCCTTGTGGAACCGCTTCACCATCTGCCGGAAGCGAGAGAGCGGTCAATACGGGGCAGCGGGCGAGGGTCACAGGGGTCAAGAGAGATGCGCACGGCAGCCCGCACCATGTTGTAATTGGCTGTGCATTTTGTCGTCGGCACGCCGCGTCAATAGGACTCGGCGGCGACCCTCAGGACGGCTCCCGCTCGCGATAGGGAGCGGCGGCGACCCTCACACCCTCTCCCGCTCGCGATAGGGAGCGGCGGCGACCCTCACACCCTCTCCCGCTCGCGATAGGGAGCGGCGGCGACCCTTACACCCTCTCCCGCTCGCGATAGGGAGCGGCGGCGACCCTCACACCCTCTCCCGCTCGCGATAGGGAGCGGCGGCGACCCTCACACCCTCTCCCGCTCGCGATAGGGAGCGGCGGCGACCCTCACACCTCTCCCGCTCGCGATAGGGAGCGGCGGCGACCCTCACACCCTATCCCGCTCGCGATAGGGAGCGGCGGCGACCCTTACACCCTCTCCCGCTTGCGATAGGGAGCGGCGGCGACCCTCACACCCTCTCCCGCTCGCGATAGGGAGCGGCGGCGACCCTCACACCCTCTCCCGCTCGCGATAGGGAGCGGCGGCGACCCTCACACCCTCTCCCGCTCGCGATAGGGAGCGGCGGCGACCCTCACACCCTCTCCCGCTCGCGATAGGGAGCGGCGGCGACCCTCACACCCTCTCCCGCTCGCGATAGGGAGCGGCGGCGACCCTCACACCCTCTCCCGCTCGCGATAGGGAGCGGCGGCGACCCTCACACCCTCTCCCGCTCGCGATAGGGAGCGGCGGCGCTCAGGCCGGCTCGCGCTGGCGGCAGGCGTGATGGGACACGTACAGTCAGTAATACAGTCAGGACACAAACAGTTGATAAGAAGCTGCTGCGCCGCATCATCTACAACTGAAGGCATTATTGGCAGTTCTCTGTGTTATGGGAGGTACAATAATGCAGTAAGTACCTGCAAACAAACCATATGTGGGCAATCGGAGAAGAAACTTTGTAGAATCTTACGAGACTGAAATGATGCTGCCCGGGACCGGAACACCTTCAGCGTGTTTTTACACCACGAATGTCGTGACATGACATGATAAGACATGATAGACATGATATCGCATGATAGACGTGCTAGACATGATCATGTCTATCATGACATGATAGACATGATCGCATCAGACATGATATAACACGCTCACTTATAGCTATTGGTTTGCTTTTCAGCAGAGAAGACTGCTCAAGACAAAACCATTTCTCTGTTTAGTGAATATGCTCCTAGATATGTCCTCGCTTGATTCTTATTATCTAATGTATTCACTTTCGTCGTACGTCATCGAATCCTTCACAACATTGAATGAGAGCCAATTGATGGCCGGTATATCTGGAAATCGTGCTCACAAACGCCAGATATGAATGACTCGAGCATTATATTTTTCTTGACCTTGATCACAGCGTGACGTATGAGATGGTAGATTTTTAATGAGGTTATTATGTCGTCACGAATGCCAAGGTGGCTTTCAAATCTTCCCCCATTGTGTTCTACCACATCCTTGCGGCCTTTAAACTCAAGAACCAGAAGGCTCTCTGGGTCTTAAACTGGGTATGGTTGTGAGCTGCATCAAAAGGTCTTTCATATGGCTATTTCAGGTTAAAACCCCATACAAATGTGGAGCACTTCTTTTAACGAAGGCATGCATCATAAATATTTGCTCAAAACATCTAAAAGGATACACTACTGTACTCAGAATTGAAAACCGCATTGAGTTATCATCGTATGTATGGTGTAAACCTGAAAGAGTGCGATTTCCTGGAAAATTTGGTCTCTGGCGTGACATAATTGGGTCAGCTGTTTACCTCAACATCAGTACTGCTACCAAGAACGATATTTCGTGGAGACCAATCCACTAGTTTCTTTTTTGGCTATAATCTATCTGCATTAATTTGAAAACGCCAGGGGGCCGCAAGAAACCATCCCATCAGTCCGCGTTATGAAAAACAGCGAATAGGACGACGGCTAAGGTCAGATCAGGTTTGGGTTCTGATGTGACCCCGAGTGACCTTTGCTCAGAAAAAATGTCCGGGGTAAAGCTGGTTGCGTGAGAAGGCCTGCGGGTAACCATTAGCAGCATGCTGACAAAACTGAAGATAGTACCTAATGCCATGCGATAGTCCTTGCACTATTACGACCTTATAGGCGAAGGAATGACGCAGAAGGCAAGGATGCCAAAACTCTATTTTCCGGTCAATATTCCGTGCATCGCCACGGGTTCATGCTCAGCACTCTCGAAAAGTAGGGGCGCAATGGTATCCGCAGTGCCCACTTCCCGTTCCTATACCTATGATAACCGCCACTCCGGTCGGTACCGGGCGACGTTCCTGTACAGCTGGTGTGATCGGTATCTGGCAGCTGGTTGCGCCAGCCAGAGGCGCAGCCAGGGTTTTCTTAAAGAAAGAGCCCGAAGCTCAGTGGGCACGCATCACGCCGATCTTAACTCGCTGTCCAGAGCCCTCTATAGCCAAAATATAAAACCGGGCCAAGGAGTGAGCCCGGGTTCCCCAAGTCCCTCACATGGCTGCGCCCCTGATGAAAGCCTTTGGCAACACATAGTTGTGACAACACTTTTTGGGTCATTCACTGCACTCCCAAAACGTCGCGAAGCCACTGTATCCAGCTATTTAACACGCGCCCGGGGTGGGTGGCTGTAGGCGACGTACTCGGGTGGGGTGGAGTGCCAATTTGACTCCCCTGAGGTCTCAAAAACTACGAGAGCTAGAGACAATAAACTCACGGGGTAGACAGACCTGCCTGTACGTGAACCTGCTCGTGTCAAATTTCGGGGTTCCCAGGTCATGGCCGTCGGGTCTTGTAAGGTCTTGCTAGGTCAAGCTTTAGGTCGGATCCTAAGTTATCTCAAGCATCCACATGCAACCATTTTTTTCTTGGTGCCTCTTCTAAGCAAAAGGCCACTGGTGTTTACTGAAGGTCAGTTCACGGTTTTTATCTGCAGAAGGTTACGATGGCCAAAAAGCTTCGAGACCGTTTTTACTTTTGAATTTAGATAAGCGTCCAGGACAACGCTAGGCAGTATGTTCCTACAAAAGTTGACCGGAAAGTGAACTAGGTCAGCGACCTAAGGCACTCATATAGGAACACTTCTCTAGTGATATCATTTGGTGATATCTGGTGACACTCATCTAGCTTAGTGACACCTTTGACCTTTATGAAGCTCATACAACACATTTTTTGACGTCCTACTTCTTAAAGCCAGGCCTCCAGTACAAAAGCAAGGTGTCTCTGACGTCACTCTTTCTTTATGCATGTCCCGAGTTCAATGAAATTGGTCGCTAAGTTCAGTTATCTGATTGTCTACAAAACTACCTCAAAGATGTGTGACTTCCTCTAACACTTCGTTGTCGCAGCAGATTAGACGATTCCCTAAGAGTGGCCTTTATTGACAGCCATGGCCAGGTTTTGCCTGGCATAGATCAGCGACCCTACAGAAGAAATTCATGTGTATACCAAACGATTAGCCATTGAATTGCCCACAGCTAAGGATGGCACGGCTCCACCACACTATTCGGAAGCTGTTTTGTAAAAAAAAATTGGAGGATGGTGGTTATACTGACCCCCACTCGGTAGCGTGTTAAAAGACATCTGCACGTTCCAAGGTGCGCCTTTGGAACATTAAGATAACCCGGTGTCAGAGGCATGACCCGATACCGACTCAGGTGTCAGAAGCGTAACCCAGTACCGGTTCAGGTGTCAGGGGCGTGACTCGGCACCAGCCCAGGTGTCGCTGGCGTGACCCGAAACCGACTCAGGTGTCAGAGGTGTGACCCGGTACCGGCTCAGGTGTCAAAGGCGTGACCCGGTGCCGACTTAGGTGTCAGAGGAGTGACCCAGTGCCGACTCAGGTGTCAGAGGCGTGACCCGGTGCCGACTCAGGTGTCAAAGGCGTGACCCGGTGCCGACCCAGGTGTCAGAGAAGTGACCCAGTGCCGGCTCAGATATCAGAGGCGTGACCCGGAACTGCCTCAGGTGCTAGCGCCGGCATTCCATGCAACTTTTGCGAGTCATTAGTAAAAGTTGTACCTGGGCGCTGCTGCCAGGCAGCATAAATTTTCCAAGCTACAACCAAGCACATCCTGGCTTATCCAATTTGAACTTCATGAAACGAGATCTTACGTGATTGATTATACGGTGTTCGTGGTCTGGACGTGCTGCGCCAGCATATGTCCCAGGTGGGCGATGGAAAAGGGGCGAGGGAAAACGAAGAAACGCGACGTGCAGGCCCAAAGTGTGGTAAAAAGGGAAGTATTACGCTTTGCTTGGCAACCCAGTCTGAAAAAATCAGGTTTACTGAGCACTGTATGCAACATGGCTGGATGAAACGGACGTGGAAAAGGGTGTGCAGTTTGATTTTAAGCCAGGCGCTGACGGCCGTCCGCATCAAGGTGGAGCTGACAGGATTGACTCACACTGTGCTAGCATTGAACCTAACCCCTGTGTCTCACAGGACTGAATAGAGCCAAATAAAGTGAAGCGCAGTGAGGCGACCCACAAATGAATGGATATTTTTGTGCTGACACGAAGACCAAGGTACTATCTAGTCATCAACTTATGTGGTTACCATTTACGCGTAACTCCTGCCAGTCACAAAGGGATCATTATCGTAGTCTTCTGTGTGATGCGTAAAAAAGAGTTATGTGACACTGAATTCGCGAGTTGAATGACTTCCTGTTAATTGATGAACTGATCTGATGTGCGCGGACTATATCTTCAGACTAAAAAAACTTCGGTCATGATTTTACAGCGGCAGAAGCAGGGCTTACACTATACTCGGAAGGAGTCCCACGTGTTGGCGTGGCATTTCCACTCATTGGCATCACGCCCTGTCGGCTTGTCTGCCGGGCTTGTTTGGGAAAACCACAGACATAAACGTGAAGTGGACATGATTATAATTGACTGAATACGTATATAACCAGCCATGTGAAAAGATTTCGTGGCTCAATCCCTCATCCCATGGACCAGTTGATGACAGGATACCGATCCCCGACGACGAGGCTCATTCTTAGTCCTTGCACGCCCTCGTCTGCCAGAAAATAGTTCGCGGGCATTTAAATGGACGGCTCAAACCCTCTCGACTTGCATGCGTGGAACACGTTGCCCACGCCTAGTCCAAAGGTGAGCGGCGAGCAGCACTTCAGCGTTATGGCGTTAAACACAGCACTGAATGCATCACATCCATTGCTGCAGCATAATGCGATAAGCCTCGGGACTGGCGCGGGCCAACGTTTCATCGGACGGCCGAGCAGTCGTCAGTCCGCCGTCATCTGGACCTCACACCCAATGTCGCCCGCCCACCAGAGAAATGTGAAGGCGGTAGAGGAGGCCAGCGGGGGCAACAGCGGCGGCAGGGGCGACAGCGGCCCGCTCACCTTGGGCACCAGCACCTGGGTGGCCTTGTTGGCCAGCCAGACAGGCAGCTGGCCTCCAGGGCTGCCGTAGGTTACGTAGTTGACCTGGCAGCTCTTCGGTGACAGGGGTCGCACCACGTACCCTGCAGCGAGGTCCGAGGTCAGAGGTTTATTAGCAGTCAGGTCGGATTGGATGCCAAAGGCCAGATCGATAGCTGGGCCAGGGCAAGGTCCTGGCTCAGGTCGTGTGAAGGTTAGAAACAGTTTACGGGCCACGTCAGCGGTCCAATAGGCGCCCGGTCTGAAGTGAAGCCCAAGGGCAGATCAGACAGCACGAGGTCGGGGATTTAAACCACAGGCAAGAGGTAAGGCCAGGCGTTTTAAGCCATAAATCAACGTGCACAGATTCCCACGGTGTCACAAGGACTCGCCCTCGTATCAGCTCTGCTCCTGTGCAATAAATACTCAAGGGTCCGTCCTGCTTGCGCAAGCGGGCAATGAACAACGACACCGTCTTGCACAGACAGACCCTGGTTGGTCTTCCTCAGCTGCTGGGCACGCTCAGCGTTTTTTTTTCTTCTTTTCTTTCTTCAGTTTGCATGTTGACGACCGGTGGAGTGTAGCCCCAACAAATGAAAGGGGCCGGGAGGTCATCCATGTGCCAGAGCTCGTAACGATATAGGATAAGGCAGCTCGCCGACGAACAAAAAGGACACTTTCTTGAACAGAATTAACATACTTCCGCGGCTTATCAATCCACACATTTGATTTTGTTTTCACCTGACAGCCTATTTCTTCCCAGGAAACACCTGTACATAGCGCCTAGCGGGAAGAACCATCATCGCTCGCGGAGGGTGTGAAAAACGAGCAATAATGCTGACCACGGGCGAGGTCAGGTAGAGGTCGGGGAGGGGGAGGGGTGGACACATCAGCCGACACGGAGTCTTTGGCTGTAGTCACGCGACTGTGCGGAGCTCGGAACTCGGAAGGGAGCTGACACGGAAGCCCGCGCGGCAGCCTGCTGCCAGGTCGGCGGTGGTTCGTGACCGAGGTGTTGCCTGCACGGCAGCGAATGGAGAGTCGGGGGCTGCACGGACAAGGACAGGGTTTTCTTCGCTCAAAGCAATGGCGTTCCGTGCGGGAGAGGTGCGATTATTTTGGCGGATAAACGCAGTCGATGGCCCCATTGCTGTATAGGGTAGCCATTGCAGTAGCGCACATGACCTGCTAGTGTACTAGCAGGCATGCCAAGTTGAATTACATCCTAGTCTTCCCAAGATGACTTCCCACGTTGTGTCATGACAAAACTCAAAGCCGCGGGCAGTTATCTCCGACCGTTCTGTATATATTCAGGTAAGGACGACAACTACCGCAGAGCAGTTGACAATGCGTTTATGCGGTGTTCATTAGATTCTATGGAACGCCATAATTGCACATAGATCCTCTTTGCTAATCCGTGTGCGCATTTAGCCTGGCCTGCTTCCTAGCGATGTTCATTTTTCAGAGAGAGCAACCTGCGCAAGAGCATAATGAACAGTAACGTCAGTCAGACGAAGATGGCCATCCCGTATACCCATATAGACGGACACATGTGTCAGCGAACACGCACTTGCTATTTCAGTGGACATTTTGCCAACACTACAAATTTTACTCCCGAAAGCACTAATTCAGCCTCGCGAGTTGCGAGCTTCACTAAACCCTAGTTTTCCGACAACAGCTAGGCCGCTTTGACGTGGGTTGTTGCCAGAGAAGACCTTGTCAAACGACTCTAAACGGTACTCATCGCCAGGCTAGCAGCCATCTTGTAAGATGGCGGGTGCCCGTCCGTTTTGTAGTTTCAGTACACGTACTGAGCTAGGTGTGAGAGTGGACCCGGCCTCTGTTATGCACACGCCCTTTTAGTCCGATTAAGTCATCAGTCCGCAGCTCGGCGATAAAAAAAAACACAGGAGAAGTGGATGTTGGCACGCTACTGAAGCTGACGCCAGGAACAGGTAGCTATGCCGCGAAGTGCGTTGTCTGCTCATGGCTCTGCTCTCCTCTATTGACGGCGAAAGAGGCTGGGAGGCAGACGCCAGGAGAGCTTTGTGGGTATGGCGTAGTTCCGTGGCGACCGCGACATTTGGATATCACCAAGAAATAACGCTGGAGGGAGTCTAATGCCTGACAGCGTCCCGGGAGACAGACGGAGCATTTTGAAACCGTGAAACACGACCCGGCTCCGCCAGCCGCTAACCGGACGACTGACTTTGGCGGCCTCATCTCATCTTCGCAGGCCGCTGGTGCCAGCAGAAACGAAGGCAAAGTGATAGTCATCAGGACGCCCTGCAATGCAGTGGCGCTCAGGGCTCTTAAAACTACGTTTCGCCCCGGTCCCCATGACGGCGGTTTACTACGGTTCAACGTAGTTTTACTTGTCGAACCGGTCCGCCGAAAGGAATGGTGCATTAAACTTGCCGACAATATAATGATTTTTTTCTGGAATTATTTTCCGCTTGCGTTGTCGAACAGGTACTGGTCAAACATGTGATCTTCAAGGCTTGCTCAACGGCCACATTTTGGGAAACAGTCGATGCAACGAACTTCTTGCCACGATTAGATTAAAGGGCAAGTCAATCGCTTGCCACGCAGAAAAAACATCTCGCAGCTTGCGATACACACTTTCGTCAACATCTCCAGCCAGACACACCCCTGCACTTTCTGCCCAGTGCACTACGTCTGGCAAACGTGGCCATGCTTTCAGCGCAAATATGCACATGATCATTTTCATACACCGACATGCACTTAAAGTATTTACATAATGTTAGACCCTGAATTGATTTGATCCGTCTGTACTGCATTGACCTACAGGTCTCGTGGCACCCTCCGCCATTTACATTATGCGAGCACTAGCGAATCACCGGTCGCTGGATATGCTGACAGCCGCTAACTCAGCACCGGATGCTGCCAACGGATACAAGTTCTGGGCACTCCCGATGAGCGCGAGCTATTCGGCATTCCCAGCGACACCTCGGCCAGCAGCACCTCCGTGCGTATAACCAGTGACCAGGTGCCCACGTGCCGTGTTTGCATTTAGGCATTTAACGCCGTGAGGCATTTAACGTACTGGATTTCACCCTTCAACAGCCTGTTACGCACGATTTCAATCCATCAGCAATCAGTGACAGTCACGAATGACGCGCCAATCGCCCAAGCAATTCAAGACGATGTCTGTTGTGACGACCTCCTCCAAGTCTCTCATTTCAGACGTACTTAAGCCAGGATTGCAGCGACCTCCATACGAGTCCGAACAGACACGGCGGGACAGACGGCCAGAAAACTCCCGACCCTCACCTGAGAGGTAGTTCAGCGCCCTGACGAAACCTTTCCGGGGCGGGAACTGTTGGTGCGACACCGAGTGCCCCAGGCTGTAGTACTCCCGGCCCGTGTCCAGCCACGAGCGGAGCACCACCAGGTCGCGGTTGCAGAGAGGCGAGGGGCAGGCCACTGGAACGAGGTCACGATGGGTGACGTCACGGTCGCGGTCCCGGCTGGCGATCACGACCGCGTGACAAAGTGTCAAATACCTGACGATCGAGTCTATGGAGTATCGGCCGCACAACATCGGCAGGGACCGGCAAAATAATGGCGGCAGGGAAAGATGCTTTAACGAAACATAGCGGCAAGCCAAAATATCAAATAGTCAAAGGTGCCGGATTAATATTCGAACGGAGAATGATGGCATAGAGAAACCCAAAGTACTGCCGAAAATATTGACAGGGATAAAGCACAACATAGTAAATGACCAGTTGGGAAAATATCGACGAGATGAAGCTCGCCGGGGATAAACACCGCAAAAGAAGCAAAACAAGTTTATTTGGTATGTGGCGATGGTCGAACAAAGAACTGCACGCGCCGCGCGTGCAAACTAATGCCTACCAACCATATTCCGTCGTGAGTATTTGCCCATAGGCTATGCTAGGTGGGGTGCGGTGAGGTAAACTTGGGCTTGGTTAGCTCTTGGCTTAGAAAATCGGCCCGGAAATTGATGGATCCAACATTTCGGGAGCCCGCTGCAAAATATCATACCTAACGTACACTCAACAAAATCACCTCTGTCGTGCCTCCGAGAAGAAAGTGGACAATTCTGACCGATTCAACGGTACTAACCACGACTATAATGCTTAGATTGCTAACTAGCTCTAGGTCCCCAGATACGATGGGGCAATATAGGCATAGCACGTGGCCCTATTAGAATACACCTGTCAGATTATTCGCACCATAACAGTTTTGGTTGTAAAATGTCCGCGAACGCCAGAATAACAGAGGCTATCTTAAAACAGTGTACAATCTTGTATGCAGAACATAACTTGCCAGGTTTAGTCTTAGGCAGCCATTTTAGATTTCCGCATAGGTCTGTTACGCGCTTTTTTTGTGCAGTAAAATCCGTAAGATTAACTTAAGCACCATATGCAAAGCAATGGTGCTAAGTGGTGCTAATGGCTTCTTTTCCTGCTGCCCACGCCCGAATGTAACCACCAAGACCGTTGACCGGGTCATTTCCGGGAAAAAGCATAACTCCCGTGCATATGCACACCACCATTGCGATATATTGTGCTTTACATACGCAATGACGTACCAACGGCTTACAACCGCAAAGTATACGCAACTTCTCCTCGCTTGCCGATTGCACACATGCCTTGGATAATTCCGAACTTGCACCCAGCAACAAACTGCTAGGCATCGAAGGTCTCAACTTGACGTGCTATCGCTTCTCCATCGCCGAACGTCTCGATGGAGCTGTTTGCCGTGTTTGTCATCGCCGAACGTCTCGATGGAGCTGTTTGCCGTGTTTGTCATCGCTGAACGTCTCGATGGAGCTGTTTGCCGTGTTTGTCATCGCTGAACGTCTCGATGGAGCTGTTTGCCGTGTTTGTCATCGCTGAACGTCTCGATGGAGCTGTTCTCCGTGTTTGTCATCGCTGAACGTCTCGATGGAGCTGTTCTCCGTGTTTGTCGCCCACTGCGCGGCAGTAATCCGGATACCAGCCGAGAGAAGCAAGGAAATGAACCTTTAGGGAAATGTAGCGGGCCATTTCCTGGAAGCTTGGCTGCAGCTCTCACATCATTTGTTGGTAGCTGTCCATATCGACGTTCAACAGGAAATTAACTGCCATCGTTCAAAAGGCATTTCAGGCGTTTCTCCCCCATGCCCATGAGGATGAGTCGAACCGCTCGCTTCTGAAGAGATCACGACTTTGTGACCCAAGAAACATTTTTCCGTGATTTGAGCCCAACTGAACCAGGAAAAATATGGCTCAGGTACCCGAAACATGGATCATGTTTATTTATGCCCTTCATAACAATGCTCATAATGCCCTGTTTAGTATGCAGAGAATATGACCGAATATCACTGAATTCTACCGCAGGTAAATGCCTATGTTCTTGGTGACTGGTGTCAGGTTCTGTCGAATAGGCCATTTGTCTTTCTGGGATCGCACGTTTTTGCCAGACTGTCCCACTCCCATGCGAAACAGCAAAGTCTCGAGTAGCCGAGATGTAGTCCAATCAATCTCGCAGCAATCCTGGTGTCCCCGCAGACTCGTCACGTGTTTTCTCTTAGTTTATAAAGCCCGGAAGATATTTAATGTCACTATATGTTTCCTTCCTATACGACGCATAATCATCTGGATTTCACGGGCAGCACTTGGCCACTACGCCGGAGGCTGGATCTCCGGATCGGTTTCGACACGTCTGTGAATAAGCTCGCCTGATCAGGGTGGCAATGTTGAGCGCTACGGTCGGGCCGCTGACATTGTTGCTACCAATGATGGTGCTCTACATACTGAAGATTGGAGCCAGATTGTTCTGGCAGTTACCAAATGATGGAACTTCACTACGACCATGCTGCTGTTGTTGCCTGGAGTGCAGTAGTTCGGCCTTAATCTCGGGGGTCCAAGTCAAAATCTCTGGGAAGTCTTCCGGTTCGCATTGTGCGATCCTGCGTGGTCCATGGGCGTACCACGTCATGTACTGAGGGGTTCACGGACGTCCTGATGTTGATGGATCGCACGAATGACACACTTTGTGATCCATTCTGGCTTCTGGTTGCGTAACAAATAAGTTGGGGATGTGGGGCTCAAAACGGCAACTCCATTTCCGCGAGGCACGGATCAGATAATAGGTGGAACGTTCGGATAGTTCATGGCTTACTTTTTCATCTTCCAAATACCTTCGTGAACTGACGGCTGACGCAGACAGAAATATTGGTCACCACTGAGCTCCGTCAGCGTAAGCCCCACACCGCCGGCGCGGCAAGAGCTATCGATCGCCCTCCGCCCTGCAGCTATCTGCCAAGCTTTATTGCACAACAATTGCACCTTGTGTGTGTGTGGGGGGGGGGGGGGGGGGAAGGGAGGAGACGCCGCGCCATGACATTTACCCAAGCCTGCTTTGGCGACGTACGTCTCAATGCGGCTATAAAAGAACCACGGGTAAACCATGAAAAAGCGCAGGTCCCGTGGGGACAGACCCATACAGCGCAGGTCTCCGTGAGGGCAGACCAATACAGCGCAGGTCCCCGTGAGGACAGACCCATAGAGCGCAGGTCCCCGTGAGGACAGACCCACACAGTGCAGGTCTCCGTGAGGATAGACCCATACAGTGCCTGCCAGTCCAGCTGTTGAGAGTATGGCGGCGTGAGCCACGCGTCGTCACAGCAGCATCGTGTAGTTACTGGCGTAGTAGAAGATCTGGTTGTTCGGGTTCAGGCAGCCGCCGGTGTCGATCGCCAGCATGCTCTTGTCATAGTGCTTGGTGTAATCGACGTCATGAATCACGTCGTACACCGTAGCGGCGTCCACGTCTGTGTAGGTTGTGCTCGCCTGCCATGCATGGGAGGCATCGCTGTAGATGTCGAAACTCTAGGCGGGTTCAAAACAGGCTCGCACTTATACCATACCGAACCAGCTCAGAGCACTACAACGCAGACGCTAATCGTGCTGTCGAACCGGTTGGTGTAAGAATTCGTTGCCAATTCATTAGTTAATATGTCCCGTAGCAATTCTAGCAACTGTATGAGCCCTTTTAGTAGGTTAGCTTGATAATACGTGACGTTCAAAAAGCTTACCTTCATCATTTTGCACTCTTTCTCGTCTGGCTGTTTGGTCCACACTTTTGTGGAGTTGTTACAGAAGTCCAGCTTCCATCCGTCATGGTTGTCGGCCAATGCCACCAGCTGCCGAAAGTCCTGGTCCTCCGCCACCCGGACCTCACCCAACCGCATGACCCTGACCTGGCCAGTCGGCTCACCCGCTCTGACAATCTGGGAATGGCACGTCAGATCAGTATCTCGGGTCGGCGGCCATTCATGTGGTGGTGGTTGATCGGATGAGGGAGCCGGCCGTCTTTCGATTAATTTTTACAGACATGGGAGCCGGTCGTCTCTAGGTTGATTTTTACAGGCATGGGAGCCGGTCGTCTCTCGGTTGATTTTTACAGACATGGGAGTCGGTCGTCTCTTGGTCGATTTTTACAAACACACATGGTCGCGCTTGTTGACGCACGTGCTGCCATGCTGTCTCACGTCAGATCCAGAGGACACGTTAACAGCTGGCATGGCGCCTAGACCATGTCCTCGCAGTCATGAGAACGCTGCACGGCACAATCAGGTGAAATCGACACGCAGCCAGCTGGACTACTTGACGCTTCTTAAAACAAAGACCATGTAAAGTAAACCATTTCATGAGGGATACTATGCCCAGAGCTGGGCTAACATGAACTAACCAGGCAAACGTGTTTGCGAGTTTGTGCCCATAATAGTGCAAACAGATTTTGTGTCTGTAACACGAACGGCGAGTTTGTGTCTATAATAGTGGTGGATGACCTAACTCGAACAGGGCCTTTGAAATTTCCAACGCATGACCTGCCTTCCTTGCACAGCCTGATCACCTCCCAACTGAAACAAACTTTTGGGCTTATGACGAACTCAATATGTAAAAGAAACCACATTTTTGGACGATATTCAAGCACCAAACGTTGGATTGATAGCGGTCATAAGAGCACTGTTCCGGTAAATGTGGACGTCTCCTTCGAAATAGCAGCCCAGATGATTCATACTCTGTTCGCCAGTGATCACTTATTGCTTAATGGTTCCCGACCGGCCTTAGCCTAAACTGCCAGCTGCCTTAAAAATGACTCTGCCTTTAATCCCATTATTAAAGTGTGTTGAGGAGGCGATTCGGTAACTCGGGGTTTCGCTGTTTTCTCTCCGAAAATTTGTGTCCATGACAGGCGCAGGAGCGGCACCGGAGTCCGACTTTGAGAGGGACTCCCGTGAAATTTGGCGATGATGCTGAGATAGTGATTGGCACGGGGTTTGCGCTCGCTGAGTTGCTTCTACAGGAATTGCTGCTGTTTCCGGTACGTGAAACAGTTGCACTATAGGTGTCTTTAAATTAAGCAATATACCAAAAATGAAGGAGCATGGCAAAGGTGATTACAGGACTGGAAAATGGTGAGTTTCCTTACACTGCAAACGACATTACGGGTCGTCAATGCGGGCAAATAAGGGATACTTTTCGGCATCAATTTAAATCGGTATCGGTATTACGTTAAGCTTTGCATTTTCTGACCATCTTTGCACTTTCAACCGATCCATCTTCCATCTATACATCTATCTATCCATCTCCCACCTCAGTGCAGCAAACATCATTTAGAAATGCAATGACATGTCAGAAGCGAGTACAGGAACGCCAAAAGAAGAGGGGGGGGGGGGGGGGTTAGTGCAGTGCACGGAGACCATGGCCGAAGACCGTTATCAGGCAGCCAACGGCGGCTGCTTCAAAAGGCTTCGCTTTTTAAGGTTACGCTTCAGTAAGCCACGCTTCAATAAGCCACGCTCGATTGCCCGCATCCTTCTTTCACCTGAAAATTGCATACACCTATGGGGCATGTTCACACGCGGTATGCAGGCACCGTAATTCATTTCGAAGAGAGATCAGCATTGTGGCCGACAGTCAAAATATATTTCTGATTTCGCCGTCTCTTTCCCCTACCCTGGCACCACCTACGGCGATATTTTGGGATTTTACTTTCTTTTATGATGCCGTGGTAATGTACCATCGCCTATGTTCACTAAAAACGTGGTAAAAAATAACTTTGAAAGTTCCGTTGTAATTCTCCCTTGTTCTGTATCTTGGATACACCAAGCAATTCTGAATCTTGAAATGCTATCTTGAGATGGGATTTTTGGAATTATTAGCTGTCGACCTGCGTTAGTTGCGTCAAAGTCGGGCGAAACGTGGCTTATGATGTCGGGAGGATAATAATCACGTCTGGAGGGATTAAAAACCCAAATCGAAAGCCGTTTGCCTTTTGATGATCGACCAAGTACTTATCGAGACATCAAGAAGAAAGGGGTGCGGACCGACGCCCCCTGACATGACATATATTTAGCATGTCCTAAATAATGTGTATTAATGGGGTAAATTGTAAAAATAGGGTTGTATTCAAGGGTTCCAGAAATAATGTCCAGGATTGGTGCAGATGGTTAATTTCCGTTTCTGTACATTTTAACAAAAGGCAACGATGCGTTTATGCAGTATTCAACAGGTACATTGGTCATTCCACGACTATTCAACCGGATGACAGCACGGCGTCCGTTTCAGTTTTGACAAAGACAATTATATGAATGACTTATGCGGCCAAAACACGATTCTGAAAGTTTTAGAACGCTTTAGTAGGGCGCGCCAAAACGAACTAAGAGCTGATGCGAATGCGCGATGACGTCACGAGCCCTATTTTCAACTTGCTCTAGAGAAAGCAATTTGCGGAGCACAATGCTGGAATAAGTGCAATAGAAAACAAAAAAACCCTACATTTTTGGAACCATGGGTTAATATCACACACAGGGCAATGATCAATTCAAAACATATTGTGACCTAGCTTGGCCTTTGACCCCTTTTTCTCAAACAATTTGGCTCTTCGATTGGTTTTAAACCGACACGCATCTGAAAACGATTGTTATGACGTTCTGACTAAAACAAGAAACCGATTGAATCTCTTCTAGACTGGTCGCAAAACGAATTTGACCGTTGGCGGGTCACGCACATGGGCACGCCATAAGCCGACCACCCGGTGTCGGGTGACCAGTGGTGATCGACTCACTCCGTGGGGAACAGCCATCGTGGCCTGGAAACCAACTGGCATTCCGCAGCAAGGTGAAAATGAAGAACGCGTTTTGATCAATCTTACGTGCCAGCCATTAATCCCGAGTCATGCACGTTGAGAACCAAATTATGCTTCCGTGATGTTGCGTGCAGCCATATATCATCACTTCACTATATCATCACCTACAAAGTCATCGTGGATAGCAAGTTAGCTCACTACTCATTTGCTCTTGTCGGTTGATGAACAAATACAAAATGAAACTAACAGACTCAGATGCTTTATGGATTACGCTGCATTCTAGCATTTCACAAAAAGGAAACTGATATTTGTTTGAAATGGGAAGTCATTCCTTCGCAATAAAACCATTTTGAACCTACACAATAACAAATTATATCAAAATGTAGCACTGACGACGCAAATTCAAGTGGCCGAAATTCAAAGTCCGGGGAGAAACCAGGTTTTGGGGGGAGGTTGAATCAACTTGTTTGGCTGAGCTCCTCGAACAGATTTTAGAAAGTGACGCCCCTGCTCCAAAGTAATGCACACAAATGCCACCGCTGTCATTACTGCATCTCATTAACACACCCAGTCCGTGGCGAGGGCGCAGAGAGGACCGCGCTCATCACGCTTGTTAAGCACTTCCATGGACGACGAAACAAAAAATTGCATTTCCTAAGCCGGCAAACTTTTCCCCGGCCGTATGCATTAGAGTTGCAATTTTTCCTAGATGACCTCGCGATCCGAGCACCTTTTTCCATGGCTGAGCCCGAGACTGGATGTAGATCAGGGGCTTGTGTTCACAGATTGTGTAGCTCCAGCATATCCACTTGTTCACGGGACAGCATCAATATTTGAAACGGCAGAGACCGATGTTAATTCTGTAAGCTGAAAAACGATTTGTCACCAGTTTCTACCAAACTCCTCAGATAGGAGTTCTTCTCTAGATAAATGTCAGAAATTTTACGCAAGCTCCTGCTTCATCATTCATGCTTCGGGTCAAATGACTCTACAGATAACTTCAGCTTGACACGCCAATTCTGCACATTTGTAACCGCTTATCACATTTCTAATAATATTTGTTGGTGATGATGGCGAATGATTTGCACCGCAACCACCTTAATATTGTTATGCTGCAGAAACACTTTTGGTTCCACTATCTTTCCACGAATTTAACCCCGTTATGTTATTAAACATTCCTCGGAGGCACTTGCTGACAGCGGAAAAAACTGCAGGTCTTCATTTTCTCACCGCGCGGCAACACAGCTCTGCGCACGATGGCGCGCTATGGGTCACCCGGTCCGTATGCTCAAAGCCGGCAGCGATTAAGATGCGTGATGTATCGAAGTCTATATGTGCGGTCCCAAGCCTGCTTAGCCAGAACACGACGTAACTTGGCTCCGGCTCAATGCCAGATTGAAACGCAATAGTGCAATTTCAGAATAGATGGCTGTTTCTTGTATTATGTGGGGCTAAACCTCAACTTTATATGTTAGTTGTCGATGTGTCGTGAAAACTCGGAACGTAAGACGTTGCCATTCACGCGTTTCGTGAAGGACGGCAGGTATGCACGGTGAATTAGCACGCATTCGTCATTCAAACATTATTCCGGAAAAATATCTAAAATTTCGGAAGAAGTTCTAAGGTTTTAGGTTTTAAGATTTTACCTAGTTGTAAGATATTCATGAATGGTTTCAAGGTCGCGGTCACGGTTCCCGACGGAGTGAGCCCATCGCGCCCAGTCAACGACACCGGCCGACACATGACACCAGCTTATGGCGTGCCGCCGTGCCTGGTCCCCCACAGTTGAAATTCGAGTTGCAATCGATCTAGAAGAGTCCCCATTGATATCTTCGTCATTTCTAAAAGTCAATAAATTGTTTTTTTAGTTGCATTTTGGTTTGAAGAAAATTAAACTATGTTTTTAGAAAATGAGGCCGAAGGCCAATGCACATCACAATGTGTACCTAAGAGACATCGAATGTTATATTGACCCATGTTTCAGAAAATACAGGTATTCAGCTTATCGATGCATTTATTCAAAACATTATGCTTCCCAAAATATATTTTGCTAGAGCAATTTTACAACCAGTATTTGTAGCGTCATCGCGTGTTTCATCAGCTCCTAGTTACTTATCCGTACGTCATACGGCTCTAAAGCTTTCAGAACCCTGCTTTGGCCATAAAATGACCCCCAATATACCTCTTTGTCACATTTGACAGGGGTGGCGTGTTGAGGTGCACTCAACCGGAGTCGGTTTGTCTTGGAATGACCCATGTGCCTGTTGAATAGTGCACGGCCCTGCAGCATGCAGCGCAAAGACGACAGGGCATACATATATGTAACAGCGCAAAGGCTACTATGCATATAAATATGCAACTACCTGCATTAATGCCTACACATCATATGTGCTGATATACGATATGAACCATATGTGCGTACGTCTGACAAGAACAAAGCAGACATATGGCACACAAGTAGGCGCAAGGGGAAGCCGCAGGTGAATCATTCGGTTGCGAGCAGGGTTTTCCACCGGAATTTAGCGTGGACCAACCTTGTGGCTGGAAAATACTCGACATCCGTCTACACTCATTCATGCATCGTTGGAAGGCAGGAAGCCAAGAACTTGATGTACGTGGAACTGACAAGTTAGCGGCAGTCTGGAGCCACGAACCTTCCCTTCTCTTATTTGACAAAGATTGCTCATAAAGCTCCTTTAACGTGCAAGGTCGTCCTTGCACTTCCCGCTACACAATGTGCGTAAGTGCATACGGTTCTTGCGGACTACTACTCGCGATAACCGGCTCAGCCTTATCACCAGCTATAGATTCTCACCGTCTTTATAATTTTCACGTAACTTCGCTTTTGTATCGCGTCCACCGATAAACTGAACAGCCCTTTACCCACGGATAGAATCGGCTGCCTTTCAGGCGAACAAAACGGCTGCCATGGTAGCGAACCGCCCGCGTGTTGACGTGATCGATTTCGGTGGTGCACAACTGACGCGCGAGCCTGGCGGCCCAAGGCTGCACGACGGGGTGGCCGTCGCACTCCGCGGTTCGGCCGTTGTTTGGGAAGCTTGTTTCGGCCGAGGACGTCACAAACCCTCGTGAGGTTCGAACAGCGGCAAAGGAGACTGTGGTGTGATTGGTCGGTAGCATGCACTGGTCATGGCACATGCGCTGAGTGAATGCATGGTCAGAGTCGTGACGGCGTAACAGCGCGTGACGGCGGAACATCGCGTGACGGCGTAACATCACGTCGGCAGGCGCTGAAGCAAACTATCGACGCTCGGACGCCGGTCCTGGGCTGTCAAGGGCAGTTAAAACATTGAAAAACATATCGCGCTTGCCAAGTTTGTTGTCCGAACTCTCTCCAAACCACACGAGTACAAATCCATCTGGTCGAGCGGTAGCTAACCGCTTTTATGCTTACTGGTCCTTATACTGATACTTCGGTTCAGTATTGATGATGACTTGCAGCTAACTGTGTTTTATCTACACCATTACATGCTGAGGCAAGGGTATTTCGTTTCGTTATCTTCAGGGTCGTTTATTTTGTTTCGAATTCCTCGAACAGCACTGAGGCGAGATCGATACGTTATAGAGCACATGTATACATTTCGAATTACAATGAACATCATTTAACATTGCTAAGCATCATTATTTACCCTTCTCTCGAGCACTGGTGCTCGACCAGTAGTCAAAGATAAGCTTTATCATCGGAAATTTAAGGTTTTCTTCATAAGATGTCGACCGCAGTTAAGTGATGCCCGGAAATTCAAAAGAAATGCAGCTTTAACAACATCACTTAATGGCTGCTATGGACAAATACAATAAGAGATCCCATTTGCAGGGGAAGTGTCGCTAGGGAGGAGATCTGACCCGCCCGCTCTCTATCGGCGGATAACATACTGAAAGCAAAATAACCATTGCTATGAATGCTCGAGGCTGCGCGTACTGAATACCGAGCACGCGGTTCAGCCGAGGCTGGCTACACTTCTGCGTCAATCATGGTCCAGCGCACGAAACATAAACTATATTTGCTCATGAAAGTTATCAACTGTACTAAAACTAGTCCCCGAACGAACTTTAGATACCAGGTAACCTTTAGGTAGGTAGTTAGGTCCAAGGTCACCCTTCTAGAGCGGATTTTGACGCGAAGACCTTGATTGCCCAACAACCTCGATCGGCCTTGACCGGACTATCCAGCTGCCCTGACGACTCATCCACAGCTGGGGAACTATGTTTTGCCTTCGAAATAACGGGTAGATCACCCTCTCTCACGGCTGCAATACCTTTAAATCGTGCTTTGTTCAGGGAGGGCTGCAACCCGCAGCTGGCGTAGGCACGATAACGCCTAGCTGCAGCTCAGACCGATACCATATCGTCTATCGTTAGCGGATAGGACCGCTCACACGCTGTGAAAAGGAACCGCTGAATAGCTGCTGCCAGCTGCGCCAGCTGAGACGTTGCTTTAGACCGCAGAAGCAGTAAAATTTCGCGACGCCAGTCACATGATACGGGTTTGCCACGAGTACAACTATTTGGAATTTTCGCAGTAGTACATTCCTGATCCTCCATTCTTTGCACGGCGCACCGCTATCAGGTTCGGAACTGGAAGAGCGGACGCAGACATTCCATACCGACGTGAGCGCCCTCGCTGTCGTGCCGTGCCGCTGTTCAAGACGTGAGCGCCTCGCTGCCGTGCCGTGCCGCTGTTCAAGACGTGAGCGCCTCTCTGCCGTGCCGTGCCGCTGTTCAAGCCGTGAGCGCCACACCGCCGTGCCGTGCCGCCGCTCGAGACGCCGCTCAGCCACCTCCGCCGTCCGCCGCCGCCGCCGCCGCCGCCGCGCCACCACGTCAACCGTCCGACTGGGCCGGCCCGCCGACACAGGTGGCCCGGCCGCCCCTCCCCTCCCTTGCCCCTCCCCCGCCGACGCTGTGTCGATGCGCCCAGCTCTGTCGACGCCGCCGGCGGCTGGACGCTGCGGTATGGATCCGCCCGGGTTCGTCCTGCTGGCTGTTATGAAGGCCCGGGCTGCAGTGTTGGCAGCGGGCCCAGGCCCGGCTGGCTTCGCCGGGGTGGTGATGTAGGTCGGGGTCGGTCCGAGGCCTTGTGCGTGGTCAATGCGGGGGCCTTTTGAGGCCGTTAAGGGTGTTATGGTGAAGCACTAGCATCACAAAAGAGACTGCAACTGGCAGGTTCAGTGTTGGGGCCATGGTCAAAGACAACGGCGGATCCAGGGGTGGAGGAGGTAGGGAAAGGGACCATACTCCCAAAAGCCGTGGAATTAAGATTTCAGCCCACAAAACGCTGGGGCGCGTGCTATTCTGTGCATGCCGCGTCATGTTTCCAACTTTTTAATTGCGTAGGTTTCTCGTTTTGGTACGGCCGGAGCAGTCGCTGTTTCAAACAGTCAAACGCGTATCCGCAGCGTACGACGGTTGCGAGTCTAGCATGAATAGTCCGTTACTAGTGGGTGGTTAACCCGCCATCCCAGTGACATTTCGAAAGGTGACTTAACCTGTTATCCCATTTATTGGGTTCCCAAAGACCCGTTAACTTCAGCTTCACACCCAGCCTATCGTCACATATTTATCCTGCTCCCCGCATTTATATATATATATATATATATATATATATATATATATATATATATAAAGTAGGTGTGGATGTGGGTGTGAGAGCCACGTTGTGTTTTGAATGACATTCTGCAAGAAACCGTTTGCCCCCCCCCCCCCATCCAAAATGGCTAGATCCGCTCCTGGTCAGAGCTAGGACACCAATACCATGGCGAGCGCTTAGTCACAAAAGTGCCAACAGGAGAGCCCTTTATGCAGCTGAGACAGCCTTCCATGCTACAAAGGTTGCCGTCCGCGTGGCTAACGGCCGGTGACCGCTGAGCGGCAACTGGTGAGTTTGCCGGTCAGAGTCCCAAGGGCGTTCGGTCTGCCGGCGTCATTTGGCCGCTGGCCAAAAGAGCCAGCTGCTGAAACACGGGCGGAGTCTTGCAAACTGTTGGCACGTTGGAGAGGCTTAGAAGGCAAACATGGGTTGCTGAACTGGCATTGACGCACCCGGCTGGTGGGGCAGGATGTTCGTAACAAACTAGGAGATAGCGATCAGATCCAGACTTAATTCCCGCAAAAGTTGTATCTAGGTAATACATAAACGATCGCGGTCTGCTTCAAAGCGCGTGTCCGCCTTCCCTTCGTCATGGGGGCCGAACCCCGAACTTCTGCAAAGGTCGACATCACGATTGTGATGGTACGATGAAAGGAACGTTTTAAAACGATATGAATGCCCTTTCCCCAAGCCTTCGACCCAAAGCTGAACCCCCACTTCACAGTTAGCAACAGCGTGCATCCGAGTCGGCACAGATTCATTGTGGTGTGAGACGAAGACACGGCGAGATTACCTACATTTGCCCGAGCATTGAACTGAAGTAACCCCAGCTACCGCTGTGGTGCTAAGCAGCAGCTCGTTCGCAGCAGGCCACTATTTTTAGCAAATTAAGTCAAAGTTAAGACAAGCTTGGGCCGCCATAGGCAAGCCGAGAATAAGCAATTATGTATGAAGCGTGCGGCAAGCAAGCTTGAGAGGCGTTCGCCGTCTTAGGATCAGCATATTTCACCATCAGGCGTCTGAAAAGAAGCCGCAGCGGAGTTCCCTGCATCGACGTGGGCGCAAAATTATCTATAATTGAATCGAGCTCGCAGGATCTGGGGAAACCGGGAAAAACACGACGTCCGCCACGATGGAGTATGCATCCTTCGCAGCACATCAACCACACTGCAGCTACCTCTTCCGCTTTTATGTCCACACAGCGCGTCTTTCTTTGCTACAACTGCGGTTCGGCTATAGCGTTGATAAGTCCGTGGCAAAGGGGGTCGGAGGTGGACCAGCCGCCGGCCACGTTACCACACCGGCTACGGGTGTGATATCAGGGAACGCCATCATCTCACCACGAAGCCACGCGGCACTCACCCTCGCGCTCAAACACTGCACCACTCACACGCATGCGCGCGCGCACACACACACACACACACGCACACACACACACACACGCACACGTGCGCGCGCGCGTGGCATGCCCGCGTGCACCTACGCGCTGACACGTCACTTGTGCTTACACTGTGTACAAAGCGTATTCATACGTTAAGATCAGCCCGATACGGTGATATCCCACGGCCCCAGAACGCTCGAGTGGGAATAGCGTGCACGAGAACGCGATCCGCGAACTTCCCCGAAGACGATGCCCTGTGTGCACGGCAGCTGCCATCCGCCCTCATCGCCGTTTCAGCGACACGCCGGCGCGTCCCCTGGGGGCGGCCGTCGTGTTCGCCAGCGTCGGCCACCTGCTGCCCGCCACCTAGCGCCCCGCGGCCCTCCGCCACGCGACCGGCCGGCGGCGACAGCCGGGCGGGCGGTGGACAGGCGAGGCACAGGTGGCACAGCATGGCCGCCGCCGCGGGCGCCGAGCAAGAGAGTGGGATACCGGGCACCGCTGCCACGACTGGTGGTGGTGCGTCCTGAGGCTGGTTCTCACGCAACGGAGTAGGCAGAGACCCCGCAGAAGCTAGTGGACCGCGGGCGAGAAAACTTGAAAAGCGGGAAGTTAGCGGAGCTAGCCGCTGCTTTTCAGTGTAGAGGTGTCGCACTGCCAGAGGCGGCGCTAGGTTATAACTACGTACGTATCACTGAAGCCAGGGCATTTCCAGAGGCATAACGTGAGTTAAACTCCACGTTTTTCGGTGGGTTTGGCAAGCCTTGGGTTATTCGAGCCTGTGTCGCGAGACACGGCGAGGCAAGGGTTGGGGGTACAAGGTCTCCGAAAATAGCACATGTGAGGCGTAGTCTGGACCGGCCCGTTCTCCGCGTCACGGCGCGCGGGACATGCTCCCAGACCGCGTGCAATCATCGTCCAGTCTGATGCAATGGGGTCAGAGAGGGGTGAAATGGTGGTGCGGTGTATTTACAAAATGTACCGATGAATCTTTTTACAGTTCAGGCGAGATGAGCGCCGCCTTGGCAACGCCTCAGCGCGAGCGAGTTTGCCATGGTAACCCCCTATTTCCGGGCACGTACGGATCACTGCATACTTACACCGCTGCGCCGCTGGCATATGATCAATAAGTCGGGTAACAGCCGCTACCTGAATAGCAAATTCATGCGCGAAACTTAGAGATCTCGGTTGACTGGAAATCGGCTAAAGAGCAAACAGAAGCATAATTGACGCACCGGGCGGCACAGGGAAAGGCGCCGAGGGATGAGATATCACTGCAAAACAGCCACCGAGTGACTTGACCACGCGGATTAAAGTTGCATGCGCTGCACCGCCCCCCCCCCCCCCCGCATACGGCGCCAATAAACCAGGAAAAACGCTCAGCTCACATAACATCGCCAACGCTACAAGCACGGCAGGGACATCCGACGAGACCACGACCTCCCGTCCCGAAAGCGCGCCGCGCCAGGTGAGCGGATGAGGTGGCCGGTGAGCCACCCATCGCGGCACCCCCTCAGGACTCCAGGTGCCCCACCAGCAGCTGATCGCCGTCGGGAATGCTCTCGATCGCCAGGATCACCTCGGTCGTCTGGATGTCCTCCCCGTCGGCCGCCGGCGCCTGCATGTGCATCTGCCGCGCGCCGGCCGCCGGCCGCTGCCCGTAGTCGTTCTTGTAGCAGATCACCTGCATGTGCTTGAGCAGGTTCGGTCGACTGAAGAAGCCGCGGTCGCAGCGCTCGCAGCGGTGCGCCCGCACCCCCAAATGCCGGTTCATGTGCACTGTCAGGTAGGTCTTGTTGTCGAACCGCTTGCCGCAGGTCATGCACACGTGGCGGCGCTCCTGCGTGTGCGAGCGCAGGTGCTGCGTCAGCGAGCTCTTGCGCGTGTACGACTTGCCGCACAGCTTGCAGACGAACGGCCGCTCTCCCGTGTGCTGACGCAGGTGAATTCGCAGCGTGGAACGCGCCCGCGAAGCCCTTCGGGCAGAAGTTGCCGTGTACGGCCGCTCGGTGGAGTGGTGGTAACGCTTGTGCATGAAGAGGGAGGAGGGCGTGCGGAAGGCGACGCCGCACACGTCGCCACTTGGTGCGGCTTCAGGCCGCTGTGGCGGTACATGGTGGCCGCGCCAGCGTGGCCTGCGAGCTGAAGTGCGTGTCGCACACCTTGCAACGAAAGGCGCCGCTGTGGCTGTTGAGGTGGATGCGCAGGAAGTCCGGGTGGAAGAAGCGCTGGCACACGGGGCATGGACTGCGCTTCTCGTGGCCCGTGCGCGTGTAGTGCTCGTCGCGCAGCCGAGCCGACTTGAACGTGTGCTTGCACGTGCTGCACTCGTGCACATGCGTATCCGCCTGGGATCTGCGGAGGCAAGCGGCGGCGTCAGACACGAGCGGCACCAGTCCTGTGAACACTTCAACCGTTGAAGGGAAGAAACATCGGCCGCAGAGGTAGAGAATAGACAAGTGTGAGACCTACACGGTACGAGATTCTCGTTTTATACAAGTTAAAACTTTTTTCTCAAGAGTTTCAAGCGCAGTGAGGCAATCCCAAAATAGACCCCATTTCCTCAGCAACATTGCGTTCACCACACCGAGGCTTACGCTATTGGTTTACAGGTTTTCGCGCAGTCTTTATCCAAGCGGAAAAGCAGCCAGCCTGGGTTCCGAGCACTCAGTACTGCAGTTCGCGCCCTTTGTACAACGCTGTGCTGGTGGTCCTGGCTTCAAACCCATTAGTTCGCCGTCCTCCAGAATGAATTCACGCAGCGTCACACATATGACGCGCTCCTGTCTCATCATAGCATAATTGATCCAAAGCACTCGCATCAACAGGAAGTAATGCCGGGGCGTCTAAAGACAGGAGCCCACCTTGGCGTTCATACGTAATAAAAAGCATTTGTACATCTGGAATAGTACTGTATGCTTGCCGAAATCATGTGATCCATCACAAATTCTTAGTCAATATAATGTGGCTCTTCTAGCCATGCGTCAATTTCACAGGCATCCTCAAACATGCAAATACACACACACACGCACGCACGCACGCACGCACGCACGCACGCACGCACGCACGCACGCACGCACGCACGCACGCACGCACGCACGCACCACGCACGCACGCACGCACGCACGCACGCACACCACACACACACACCACACACACACACCACACACACACACACCACACAACACACACACACACACACCACACGTACGCACGCACAGAGGAGAATGCTTCTAATGATAACACGGGGGGGGGTCTATTCCAAGAGCGATCGTTGCATGGCCTCGCTAGGAGCTTAATATCTGCAGCACTATTTGGCTCATTCACTGTTCAATGCATTGTTAACTACAACACATCACTACAACACGTTATCGTCCATTACCCATTACTCAAAACGACTAACTCGATCCAAGCATTTTCGAACCGTTCGAAGCTTTCAGTCAAACGGCGTTGCATTGGAGATCACTCTGGGTGCAATTCTGACGCACGCTACAGCCATAGCCACACACTGAGTCGTGAGACTGCGCCTGACAGCATTCCGCCCCGGCTCCGGAGCTGGGAAGCGTTCAGTGGGATCACGCAGCAAATATCCGGGGCTGGGAGGTCTTCAGCGGCAACACGGGGCAAATATCCGGAGCTCAGAGGTCTTCAGCCGACCACGCGGCAAATATTCGGAGCTGGGAGATCTTCAGGCGGACCATGTGGCAAATATCCGAAACTAGGAAGTCTTCAGGCGAACCACACGGCACATATCCGGAGCTGGGAGATCTTCAGCCAGATCACGTGTCAAATATCCGGTGCTGGGAGATCTTCAGGCGGACCACGTGGCAAATATCCGGAGCTGGGAGATCTTCAGGCGAACCACACGGTTAATATCCGGAGCTGGGAGGTTTTTAACTGAATGACGCGTGAAATATCCGAAGGTAGAATAGCTTTAGCCGGATCACACGTGAAATATCCGGATGTGTAGGTTTCTAGCCGTTTCACGTGCAAATCCTCGACAGCCAACAGCCACCAAAGCAAGCAGCATGCCGCTCATCGCGCTTGGTGGCAATACAGAAGATATACTTGGTGGACGGCAGCCGAAGCATCCACACTAACCCGCATATCAACTGTTGCTTAATTCCGAAACGAGAACCTGATTACAAAAACTAGCCGACCAGAAGTAATTGCCGGATGTCATGCACTGTTCCAAAACCAATCTTAGATTGAAACACTGGAGTGAAAAGTCGCATACACAACAAAGTATGTCCACATTTAATATAAAAGTCAATTTAGAGCATTACACGTGGCATAGAATAGAATTGAGATTGTGCGACTTGAAACGCGTTACGCGGTGATGGCATTTTCGAGGCAAAGACCATCATCGCTGGAGCGAAGGCGAGCTGCATCTGGAACTGGCCTCCAAGTGGCGGTTCCGACCCGAACTTTTTTCTCTGGGGACGCAGAGCTATCAACGTGCCAGATAACGTGAGCGAAGACTGGGCGTTAAACAGCAAAGCACGTTCGGGGAAATTTCTGACCGCTTTACATCGAGATGAGACGCGCGCCTCCCGATCATTGGACGAGCCGTGCAGCGCGTGCTGGCCGGCATGGTAACGCCTCGAAGTACGCTGGATAAAATATGGCGCGACGGTAGCCTTCAACTGACGCACGGCGCTGTGGAAAAGGTTGTCTTTCCGGAATCGAAAATGACTCTCGTGCCGCGTGCCAGCTTCTGTGAGAAGCTGCTTTCTAGGGCTCGATGAATGCCTGTTGATACTGCCCACATGGCTTATCACCTGCATCCTGGATGGTATTGCCTCTTTAGAACTAGATGGCTGTCCGTTAGCGTCTGTCGATGGTTTCAGAAAGCCATGTGGAACGTACAGTTGACAGGCTGCCAACTGGCAAAGGACGCTTTTCTCGCTATATATACATATATAATATATATAATATATATATATATATATATATATATATTATATATATATATGGCGCAGGTTACATGGCAACTACAATAATCCGTGCTTTTCTCAGTCACGGCGTGCTATATATCAAGGGAGAGATGCGCTCAGCAATGTGTGCGATTTCTCGTACTGCAAAGCAAAATGTCCCCAGCTATGTCAGCGGCCATTCCATGTTCCCACACCAAATCACAGTCTCTTCAGCCGGCGATGCGTGTCAGGTAAGTTCTTCTGAACTTGTGCTTCGTGGAGCCGTGGACCATTGAGCCCTAGTACAAATTTAGGTAATTCCTCGCTGACCTGGGGCGGATAAACACGGCAGGCGAGAAGACGACGAAGAAACGAGGAAGAGAGGTATATGGATTTTCGCCGCTGATCAGCTTCTGCGTGGTGAGTGGGTAGACAACGTAATTTTTCTGCACATCTCGGAATATCCCCTTACCAAAAAAGAACTAGGGCTAAAGATTTGGATGCGTTTTTTTCGGAAGCGTCTTTCTTACCTGAACTCTTCGTCTTTGCTTCAAATTCACGCGCAGACTAGTCTGTGGTTGCCTTATCCTTTAATGGGGCTTACTTAATTCATCACACACCTTGCTTTACATCTAGGAGGCCTTCACGCAGACTGCAAGTAATGTTTCAACTAACCCCGATGTCCGACGTGCTGCCTTAACTGTGCCAGCATCGGTCACCCTCGCCGTCTGTAACACCAGACGAAATTTCTCGTTCTTTTCGGCTTCTCCATTAATCGATGTGACATGCCTCATCCAGGAAACCCGCAACCCGCCACGGTACCTTGTCGTTTAACACACGATCGGGCGAGGCGCAATTTGACCCCGCAGGTTTTTCAGAATAATTTCTGAGCAGCGCCAGCGGAGCCGTGCCAAACTTTGCCAGAGCGTAACCGATCACATGACGATATTTTCGCTTCAGATCTTACCTGCATCTTGTACGGTCGTTGATCCACGGCAAGTCAAAGCAGGCCATGGCTTCAGCGAAGGCATTTCTAGGGAATCGTTCAATGTGGTGCAACAGTGGAGTGTTACACACGAAGCCATACATCTTTGAGGCGGTTTCCTTGAACTCTAGACAAGTTAAGTTAGTATTACGACTAACTGCAATACTCTTGGGTAAGTAGGATGGGAGGCAGAGGCCAAAGCGAATGTATTTCCCGACACCTTGCTTGAGATGTGACTTTTTGAGCCATTTCCAATTTCTTGATCACAGGAAGGCAACAACTGTGTCATTTCAAGTAAGAAGTGGTCAGTGACCCAGAAACCTAGCAACCTTTCGTTTTAGCGTAACCGCATAGCGCAATTCATGACGATTTTTGAAATTCAAAACTAAAGCAATCTCGCAGGTTTTAGCCACTGTCGCTTTCTGAAGATCAAACTACGGTCACTGCCCGGAAATGAACATGGTAACCATTAGATGTAGAATGCAGGTTAAATGTAGTTGCATAAGTAGGTCTGAGGGAACATAGGACATTAATCTGAGCTTGACTTATTTAAACTTCAAAATTTGAACCAGGTGAGTTCAGGCACAAGCCTACAGATCTTGCGAATTGGAGTTCTAACTCAAAAATTTGAGATATTAGGGGTCCATACTGACCCCACCACCGGCCGCCTAGCCGGGCGGCGCCGCATGCAACCAGTCCACCCAGGCTCGTGTTAAAAGATTACAACGAAAAGTTGTGTGTTTGACGCAAGACGTCAGTTGTAAAATAATGAGTGTCCGTGATGGACACAATGCATGGGAGCCAAAACATCCGATTACGATGCTGGGTCGTTTCAGCTTTTCAACACGATTCCCACGCGTTTGAACGCTCAGAAGTTCCTCAGCTGTTCATTTATCCTGAACAGCACATAGTGACAATAAAATACATGCCTTCAATGGCACCGCTTTTTGGATCAACAAGTGCATGCTGTCGCCAGCCTACGACTTTGTGCGTAGGAACCGTTTAAAACCACCGCTCACGAGCAGCGACAGGAAGTCAAATTACGTCCTTCCCGAACAATTAAACACAATCCCAACAACTATGCCGGGGAGTAGGGACTCCGGGGAATAAAACCAGCACCG